CCTTATATCTCATATGCTTTCTTCTAACTCATTTCATCAGCCTGTATGATTTTACTAGTATGCTTGTATCTCTGGTGTCATATGTTGGGGCCACAGGCCAATATTATGCCTTATCCTCACTGGCTTACCATCTCTCACGTGCTCCTTCTTTGCCACTCTCTGACCTCCTGCTTCCACTTCTCACTCTATCACCACTTCCCATTCCTCTTTCCATCTGTCCTTCTATCGCTTATAGATTTCAGTGCTATCAGTCTTGGTAGTGACTGTCCTATAGGCTCAGGGTCCATTTGCAGCAAATTGTTGAGTGCTGATATTTCTATCAGAGAGCCTTAACCTTCGTTTTTCCCCTCCTCCCCCAGTGTCTCCCATTCCTATTATTTTACATCCTCCAAGAGATATTGTTTCTTGCCAACACTGGTCCATGGCAATGTGGGTTCTAATGGCTACAATCAATATTGAATGGGTTTCTCATCCTATTCCAGATTTTACTTCCCATATTTTCGTGCTTCCCAGTGTGGAGTCTTACATCTTTCCTGTCTCAGTTGGTTTCTCGTCTTCATTTACTTTCCCATGAGAAATTTCTCACCCATGATGTTCTTTTTCCCTGGACTAGGGATGACCAAGATGAACATCTTGGATGCTTCTTTTCTCATTTGGCTCTGTCCCAACAAGCATCCTACAGCCATCCTCTTCTCCTTCTTTGGGAGATGGTACCTCTGGGTTGGTTGGTTCATCTTGGAGGAGTCACATCTCACACTCATTTCGTTTCTCATTCATTTAGGTGTTTTTTCGTTCACATGTCTGCAGAGCCCAGACTTATACTCTTCTTTTGAGGGTCATGAAACAGTTGGTTTCCCATTCCTATCTTCTTCTTTCCTCACTGTGGGGGAGGTTCTATCTCTCTCTCTTTTGAGAACTTGGGCTTTCATGAACCTTGTATCCCCTTGGGTCATGCTCATTTGCAATGTCTACAATGGGCTGCACATTATCTAGATCCTTGCATGGAATCCTTTGTCCTCAACAACCATTCCCCTTCTTCCTTTCTTTCTCAAATATTTCTTCTGGTGATTTGATAAAACTACTCCCATAGTCGCTATTCTTCTTCCTCTTGTCCAAGTGTCTCCTTCTGTTTCCAGGTCACCTTGATGAGATGTGGGACACATCTTAACTCTCACATAAATTCTGGTTATTGTTACCATGAAATATCATTCCTTCAAATCAATCTGTTAGAACGTTTGTCAGTACATCGAATTTTGGATTTTTGTTTAGTATTGTACATAGATGTCTCTTGATGATACATACAGTCAACTCTGTGGTTGTCTCCTTTCTCAATCACCAGGGAGACACTATGTCTCACTCCTCCTCTTTTTACATTATTGACCTCCTTTTCTGGGCCCATTCTATACAAGTATTGTTTGTTTGTTTTTGAATTTCGCGCAAAGCTACACGAGGGCTATCTGCGCTAGCCATCCCTAATTTAGCAGTGTAAGACTAGAGGGAAGGCAGCTAGTCATCACCACCCACCGCCAACTCTTGGGCTACTCTTTTACCAATGAATAGTGGGATTGACCATCACATTATAATGCCCCCACGGCTGAAAGGGTGAGCATGTTTGGTGTGACGGGGATTCGAACCCGCAGACTGCGAGTCGAGTACCCTAACCACCTGGCCATGCCGGGCCACTATACAAGTAAGACTAATAGCTTGTTCTAGTCTGGATGCCCTGAGTTTTTGTTATGGATTATCTCTGGAGGCCTGCCAAGATACTACCTACAGATTGGTCCCTCGTTCCTCTAGTGTTCATGTTGCTCTCATCTTGACTACTCTTCATCTTGATGTTTTTGCCACTCTTCTCAACACCCTAATTCCCCTTTTCTGGTCCCCTGTTCCTCTTCCCTCAGCTTTAGCTTGGGGGATGCATTCTATTAAAGACTGGTCCAACTTTTTTCTCTATGCCTACCTTCCTACTCACTTTTTCCCCTTATGACTTTCCTCATTATGTACAC